AATAGCAACTTAAATGGTTTTTCATTTCGTAGAAAATTAAATGGTTCTTGATTTGTAAGAGTAACTCATGTTCAGTTGATTCTTTTGTAGAATACCGTGCTCACATTGTATGTGTTTCTAGTTTGTAAATGAATTATTAACGTGCTCACAGAGCAAGAGACAGTTGTTCAAGTAGAGATCATGTTTAGCATTCAGTACTTTTTAAGGCCATAACAAAAATACAACGATGACAGTTGTTCTGTTGCTGAAGGCTCAAACCTAAGTCTTCTAGGACTAATAGAATTACGAAGTTCATTAAGTCAATGCACAGGACAGAAATTAGTAATCAATCAAGCTTTCCTCTAAATTCTTAGTTAATTTGAGCATAATTGCATTGATATTATCGGTCCTTGATAGAGAGCAAAAGGAACAGCATACAAAACACAATATCAAGGATAATCTAATCTAAGAACCAGATTAAGGCTAATTCAAAGGTCAAAAATAGAACAATAAACGATCATGATCATCAATCATCTAGAGTAACTCACTTCATCTAGATTAAGTACAACTTGTCAATTGGCATTTACTCTGATCTGATTGGTTCATAATACCAGTGCAAGAGGTAAAAAACAGTTAAATCTACTTTGCACTAATATGAAATGCTTTCCACAGAGAATAGGCCATGCTTTCCACAAAGAATTAGAGACTCAAACATGCAACTTCACTAGTTTAAGAGTAATGAATACAAGAAAATGTCTCAAATTCTAAACATACCTTAAACTCAGTGAACCAACGATCCCTAACCATTAGTGGCACCTCAGTCCAATTCATATATGGGTGGTTGTAGTGTGCCTTCCTAAATTTCGTGACATTTCCACTAACGGTATGGTCATCAAACTTGATGCAAGAAAGATTAAGCACAAGCATAAAAAATGATAATAAGCTACTGAGGGAATGATAACCTTATTTCAAATTCAATCCATGGCAAGTGCTCGAATCACTTTATCAATATCATTAGATTCGATAACCTAATTTCAAATTCAATCCATTAATTAATAAAATATATAACCTTAGTTATATTTAGGGAATGATATATTAAAATTAAACTTGATTGTAAAAACTTACAAAATCCTGAAGCCATTTGGAAATTTCATGTGAAAACTTGCTCCAAATATCATTTAGGTCAATGCCAGGATATTTTTGCATCATCGACTCTTCAAACTTCCTATAAACCTTAACACGTTAATTATCTAGAAAATTTCATAAAATAACTACCAATTATATAAATTTGTACCTTTCATATTCTCCTAACACCTCAAAATTAGAAAGAACATAGTGGTGTGCATGCTTGATTTCTTTAAAATCTAAAAACCTTGTTTAGACACCTTTGCCATGACCTTTGCTAAATTGGAATAATTCTGGTATAGTTGAATCTACATCATCATCATCAACAACATTGCATCCTAGATCTCTAGATTTCGTATCAACATGAGGTTGAAATTAATCAGAACAAAAGTTAGAAATCTCTTCTACAAGATAAGCCTTGCAAATTGAGCCTTCAACACGTCCTTATTACCAATTTTCTTCTTCAGATGATTAAGAAATCTTAATCTACAAAATAAAATTGACTCATTAACATATAAAATTATAAATAATATAGAAGAAACTTGAAAATAATGGAGTGACTTGGGAAAATGTATATTACCTTTCAAATGGATACATCCATCTATACTGCACAGGACCACCCACTTTTACTTCATGTGGCAAATGAATAGGTAAATGCTCCATTGAATTGAAAAATGCAGGTGGGAATATTTTCTCCAACTTGCATAAGATTTCTGGAATGTTTTTTTCTAAACGAGTCACATCATCAACTTTAATAGTGTAAAAGCATAGATCGCGAAAAAATTGGCTGATTTCAGTGACTGCTTTCCAAACATTATCCGGAAGAAGTTCTCTCATTGCAACAGGCAACAACCTTTCCATGAACACATGACAATCATGGATTTTTATTCCATGTATCTTACAGGCTTGCAAATCCACACATCTACCAAAATCAGAAGCATATCCATCTGGAAACTTAAGATCTTCTATCCATTCACACAACACTCTACGTTGTGCTTTATCAAGAGTGTATGGTGCTTTTGGGAAGATCAAGCTCCCATCATCAGATTCAATAGGCTCTAAGCTACTCCGCTTACAATATCGCTGAACATCTAGGCGAGCCTTATCTGTATCAACTGCGGTATCTTTCACATTCATTATTGTGTGGATAAGTTGATCAAAAAAACTCTTTTCAATGTGCATAACATCTAAATTATGTCGAATAAACAAATCTTTCCAATAAGGAAGATCCTAAAAGATGCTTTGCTTATGCCACCTTGTCTTAACCTTTTTTTATTTTGTCGAACGGATTTTTGGGTCAATGGACTTTGGAATCTCCTTACCTGCTCCCATAGTTAATGGCCCGTCAATATTGGAGGAGGCAATCGAGTTTCCGCTCTTTTTTTTAAAAAAGCAGTGCAGTGTTTTCTTTAAGGATGTGTAGGTGGGAGAAATTGACGATGACTATCAAACCATGATACTTTTTAGAGCCGTTGTCTAGCAAAAAAATCTATGTTTGTCCATGCAGTATGGACAAGCCATCTTTCCCGATGTAGTCCAACCAGATAGAAATTAAAGCCACTAACCGTCCATAAAAGGGCAGCTCGTAACTTGAAATTTTGCTTTGTGGATACATCATATGTCATTGTACCTACTTCCCATAAAGATTTCAATTCGTCAATCAAGGGTTGCATGTACACATCCAAGTTCCCTTTTGGATTTTTAGGACCCAGAATGAGAAAGGATAAAAACATAAATGGCTTCTCCATACATAACCATGGAGGCAAGTTATACGGGGTAACAATAACTGGCTAACAAGAATAGTGCCTTCCAAATTTGAAACCATCTATGCATAGACCCAATCTAACATTACGGGGCTCACTTGCAAAATCCTTGTATGTGTTATCAAGATGTTTCCATGCTTCACTATCACTTGGATGGGCGAGTGTTCCACTTACCCTAGGACTTTATGAATGCCACTGCAATTCATGAGCAAGGTATTTGGTCTCATAGAGCCTTTGTAACCTTGGCGCGATCGGAAAGTAGAATAACACTTTGGCCGGCACACATTTTCCACGAGAAGTCTTCTTATAACGCCCCCCCCCCCCCCCCCGAAATTTCGAACACTTTTCAAGGTGAGCTTTATCCTTCCAAAATAACATGCATCCTTTAGGGCATGCATGTATCTTCTCATGAGGAAGTTCAAGGCCCTTTACCACCTTTTTAGTGTCATAGTATGTCTTGGACATTGAATTCTCATCAGGAATTACTTCACTAATGAGCGATGAAATACTATCAACACATCTATGGGGCAAGTTGTATTCACACTTCAAGCTCGTAATCCTTGAAGCTATCTCTAAAACAGATAATCGACTTCCTTCATACAATGGTTTTTGTGCGGCCACTAACATCTCAAAAAACTTCTTCACTTGAGGATTAGGTTCTTCTTCAACATCCGAATATCTTCATGCATTGGATCACCATCAACTTGACCAAATGCATCAATAATCATGTCAACATAAGGATTCGATGGCTCATCTGATGCTTTTAAAGAATCAAAATCCTCTCCATGACAAACCCATTCATAGTAGTCATCAAGAAATCCTTTTTTATACAAATGCTCTCTTACACTTTCAACATCTAAAAAAAGAACATTTTTACACTTTGAACAAGGGCATTTTATCTTTGAAGATTCTTGAAAATCACGGTGTTGTTTAGCAAACTCAATAAACCCTCGCACGCCAATTGTGAACTCTTTTCTTAGTAGTCGACCTTCTAATCTCTCATACATCCATTTTCGATTCAATTTATCCATGATCCTAACTATTAAACAACATTGTTAATCATACACACATATGTAATATAGTCTTCTTATATTTGTAATTTATTCTCGTTATATACGTTACTTAGTTATTTAGGCAATTACTTAGAAGACAAAAGAAAGATAAGCAAGAAAAGGTGCAACAGTTAAGCCATATAGTGTATACACAATCCTTTTTCTTTATTTTTGAAACAATGGAAAAAGAAGTGTTCAATATTCATTAGGTAGGACAACATAAATAGAGAGAAAACCAAAAAAGAAACTTAATAGGAACAAAAAAAATGAAACTTAATGCATCTGTGTATGATATCCACGATTTGCATATGCTTATAGTGAAACAAGTAGAACAAAACTATGATAGGTACAACTCAATATATTTTACCAACTCAGGGAACAAAATTTCAGAACAACGGAAACTACATATATCAGAATATGAAGCATCATAAATATGAGAATAGGATATCTAGTGTTAAGGAAAAATATTAGAAAAATAATCTAAAAATATTATATAGGGTCTTAAGTCAGTTTTTGTCAAGTGGTACAGCTGGAATATCTTTAAAACATGGTATGCTAGTAAGGAGTTGACAGTGTCTTTTCTAGTTACATTTTTTAGTTTCAACATGTTTCTATATAGGTCTACTCTTTTAAATAAAAATCATGAGAAATATATATGTTCCAATAACTATTATACTACGTACTTACACCTCATTTTTTGTTGATCTCTCTTTCTCACTCTAAAAAAAAAATCTCCAATGGAGAATTTGGTAACATGGGCACGCTAAAATCACTTGATATGATAAATTATTATCTGAGAAACACATATTTAAACTGATGCCCCGTTTGTTTTGCTAGTGATATAATTTGAATATGTGAAGCACTACAATCAAAGGTGGACATTTCATTTACAACCTCACACTTATATCTATGGTGTAGGACCATTAATTATGAGAAAATTCAAGTCGAATTCATATACAATTACATAGAAAACTAAAGCAACGGACCATGAACACAAATTACAAATCGTATGATTTATAGCTTTGCATACAAAGATTATCAGCATAACTTATCAGTCACACACAACAAATTTAGCAATGAAATACCCACCCTAATTCGCAGACCAATTACAAAATTTCATCCAACAAATTCGTATTTACAAAAGAATTAGCAGCAGGGCCGATATTTAGATTGTTAAGGGTTTGGTTATTGTTGACAAAAATCAAAATATATTCCCAAATTCCCAAATAAAATTGGGAAAATTGCAGAAAAATAATTTCTATTTCACGAGAAGGAACACAATTCCATAATTTGCATAATCATTAACCAAATTTCACGAAAACAGGTTAGTCCAATTGCGCAAAAAACCAACCACACATGATTCTGCCATTCGTTACCAAGAAAAACTAAAGTAGCTCGATTGAAATTTCAGAACAGGATCCAAATAAGCCTTAATCAAGCACACATAATTGAACCCAATCTCGACAAAATAGAATTCTAGCACCACAAATTCACTAATCAAAAGCACGAGTAAAAACCTAATATATCAAAAGCAAAATTCATCTTATGAATTAGAAAACAAACCTTTAATTGATGATCAGTGGAGCACGTAAACTGCACAATAATAGAGATTCAGCGCACGAAATAGCAATGTTATTAGGGTAAATTTGATATTTTTTATGAAGAGAAGTAAAGAGAAGAGTATGTACTGAACCGCCGAACATATTTTCAATAAAGGAATAAGGAGTGATAGTTCTTGTTTTTTGGCGGCAACAACTTTATTATACTAATGGTTTTTTTTTAATTCTTTCTTAATAAATCCTTAACTATTATAAAAGTGGGAAATGCATCTACTGTTCTTAGTAACAGTGACTTATGGGGATATTACATTACCACCCCCAAAATTAATGAATTCCCGAATTTGCCCTTCTTGGGGTTTGATTGAAATTTTGTGTGCCACGTGTAAAGCAGAACCCCCAACATTAATGGTTTTCCTTTCCATTGAATTGAATTTGGTGTGCCATGTGTAGAGCTCTGTACAAATGTTCTACTATTCGAAGTAAATGCCCAAATCGGCACCAACAAATCCTCAAATCTCAACCACACTTCAAATGACCTCCTATAATGAACAGTTAGACCTTCATTGGCTGATGAGGTTTGGTTTGGGGTCTTGTCTTTTGGCGGCTGATGAGGTGTTTGGAAGGAAATTTCCTTTGGCTGACTCTATGTCTGAAAATGGTTGGTATGGTTCAATTCTTTCTTTGTATTTGTGATTTCCATTAGTAGCTTGGGATTTCGTATTTTGGATTATATAACTGGGTGTTGGTTTTTTTTTAAAAAAAAAAAAATTGATTTAAGGCAAAGAGCAGCTTAATTAATTAGACCAGTTTGGGATTTGCTATTTGGGATTATTTGGTGTTGTTAGTTTCTTAGGAGTAGAATTAGTTTGCTTGGTTTGTTGTATTGTATTGCATTGCACTATTGCAGGTCTAGTTCGTTGTTCTCTTTCTGATTAATAGGTTAGGAGTACAATTAGTTTTGGATGTTCTTTAGATTAGAATAGATTAGATTTGTGTGTCTTACTGATGAAGTACAAACTAATTTGTTTATCGTTTTCCCCTTTTTGCATCACCCTACCCTTCGTCAGACCCACAATAGTAACCATACCCCTCTTTGTATTTGTGGTCTCAATCCTTTCCGTGGCTGACTGTTTGTCTGAAAAAGAGTATTTTTTTAAAAAAAAAAACAAAAATGTGATTAATTTGTATTTCTTTTTCTTTTTTTGAAGGGTTATTAATTTAGGTAAAGATTAATTTGCAATTTTTTTATTTTTCTTTTTTGAGGGAGATTAGTTTGTTTACTTAACTATAGTTTACTTTGTACATTGGAGTAGTCCCCAAGGCTTTGTACAATGCCTTAACTTTGAAGAGAAAAAAGGCAAGTCAAAGCCTTGGGCATTACTCCAGTGTCCTTTAGTAGTAAGAAAAGACTTGGAGGCTACTTTGTTGTACTTATTCCTTTGTCACAGTAAATCTTTTAGGGTTACCTTTGTGGGTGTAGTTGTCTATATATAGAGAGAGATGGTGCTAGGTTTTTATTAGACATACCAAGACCTTCATGCCCAATGACAATAATTATTTGAGTTGGGCTAACAAAGGTATTCATTTTAGTTATGTTACTTTGGTTCCAATGACATTAAATTACTCAGTGTACATCCTGCCTCCATGTATGTATTTTGGACAACATTAACAAATCGAACATTGAATTAATCACTGCTTCATATCGCAATTTAGTTATTTGGATTTCATGACAAGTTGAACATTGCACAATTAATTCACACCATTATTTTGATTTCCTGACAAATCGAACATCCGTGTAGATACTTTTGGTTGCGTTGTTGTGTGTTATTGTGCCTTTGTGAATTTTGTTGCGGTGATTAGAACCGTACATTATAGGTTAGAAAAATCTGATGCCATTGGAAGGTTTTGTCTTCTAGACCATTTGGGTTTTTTGAGAGTTGGAAACAAAATTATACAGTGTTAGTTTATTTTACATGTCTTACATTCAGCCACCTTCTGTATTACAGGTTTGCTGATAGTATTTTGCGTTCTGTTTCTACTCGAGTCCAGTTTATTGTGTTGAATGTACAGTGCTTGTTGAGGTAATTCCTTTGACCTTGTTTATACACTATGTGTGTCATGTTCTCCTTATCATGCTTTAAAGATGTTGGTGTGCTGCTGCTTACAGCTTACGATGTCCTGTTCCTTGCAAGTTTCTTGTTTCCTATGTGCATTGACATTTTGTGTAAGCATGAAGCCAATAAATTATCCTATTTTTTTACTTGTTTATATTGAAAGTATTTGTTCAGCCTCAGCTGAAGCTTAATCTTCTAATTGCTGTGGAAGTTCCTATAGATTAGATGTAGAGGTGTTGTTTGGAAGAGAAGCACCTTCCCTGGTCTGAATATTTTTTTCCTTGAATATCGGTTTTGCCATTACAGGTTATGGCTAGACGATCAAACAAAGTCTGTGTTCCTTTTCAGCCTCTTTTGGAAAAGGTTGTTGCTTGGCTGCAGTTTCCACCTCCAGTTTATGGATTCATAGATACTTCTAAGAATAATGTTTTTGTGCTGATTAACCGACCAAATTCCCTTGCAAAGTTCCTTTTCTATGGTGGAGATGCCACTTCAGTCGAAGAATCTCGGGAGAAAGCGGCTCACAAGGCTGTGAAGAGATTGATTTGTCGGTTTAATGTCCGAGTATCTGATTTCACGCATGAACGACTTAAGATGTACCGTTTGTGTGTAAAGCTATATAAGAATAGATGTGCTGAGTTAGTTCAAGATAGAGAAGACTTGAATCGCACACGAGCAGAATGCAGTTCAAGAGAGGATGTATCATTCCATGATGTCCATGTTACAATGGATTTTGCACAGTTTTTGGGCGTTTTGGTGAGAAAAACTGGTGTTACTGCAACTGCCATAGAAACTACTAGGGTAGAAGGACACGGTTATATTCCGCGGTTAATGGTAACCTGTCCTCATAATAACATTGGCATGGAATGCATTTTCAGTGACCCATGTGCTGAAGCAACTGTAGTTGAGCAAAAAGTTGCAAAGAAAGCATCTTTTTTCATCGCTTCTCAGTTTAATCTGGAAATAGTTTATGCTAACTATGGTAGTGAAGCAAACATGGGTGCAGAATGTTCCTTGATAAGAGAAAAGTTTCTGATTCTGAAAGGCCATATTGAATGTTTAGAAAGGAGTTCTAAACAATCTGATTCTGTTAATGCCTCAAGGACTGACACTGACTGCTGTGTTACACCAACTGCTGAAGAATCACAAATTCCGGTTCTCGCTCTTCCACCAAATCGCTCATTTAATCGTAGAGTTGTTGTGCAAGAATGCCCTATGAATGTTGTAGAAGCAGAAACTTCTGCACGCCTTGTCATTGGTCTATCATATTTAGAAACTGTTTTTAAGCGCGCTAAGGTGGATTAGCTATGTGTTATTACACTATCTTTATTTTGGGTCCAGGGGTTTAATGACTTGTACTTGGTTATTAGGGTTGTTTTATGTAGTAGTAAGCTTAGCATCCAGCTTTTGCCTATTGGTTGTTGATGTCTCAAAGACAAGTCCTAGATGGTGTATACCCTATTTATGTATTCCTTTTGATGAAATGAATCTTCTATTTTGAGTATGTTAAATAGCATGAGTTTTATTTACATAGTTCTATATTATGCATACTTTTTGTATTGTATTAGTTAAGTATCTTTATATTTAGTATTTTCTTTTGCCTTGAAATAGTGTACCGTGTTCATTATTTTACTATGGTTTTTTGTTTTTGTTTTTACAGTTTCTATATATCTAAGTTAAGGCAGGCTTTGGGAGATTTGATTGTAATCCAACCATAACAGGCAATCCAATTAGAGCAGGTTTTTCCTTGAGTTGTTACAATGGGTACTATCTGAATTTGAATCATACATAGCTTAATGCATTTTGCATCCTGTCTTTTATGACCTAGGGCTACTTTTATCTGCTATATGATAGATTGTCGTTATGGTCTACCTCAGCTATCCCGCAAGAGTTGTAGTAGGTTGAATCAGGCCACACAAAGGTCGTCCCAATCAGCATTTGCTAGGTACGTATATTTGGTAACCTTATATTAGTTAATAAAACCACTGTCTTGTTTAGAATGAAACTGAAAGTATCTTCAATGCACCCCATCAACACCAGATAACCAGTATCAAGATGTTCAATTTTGTCAAATTCGGACAACAAAAAAACGCAAGTGTATACAGGAACTAGCTACAACACATGAAAATGGGTACAATGTGACAACTTTTAAGACTGTTCCTATATGTATTGTTACTTTTACTAGCTTCTGGGTATTGATTAGATGTCTGTCCTATTTAATTGTACATCTTTACAATTATTTTTGCCAGAGTTTCTTGCTGCTTGGAATTGATTTGCATCCTTAGAATCACATGTGAAACCATACTAAATCAATGCCTTGTTTGTTAGTAGTCAGTGTCACGGTGTTGGTTCAAGGCAGTCACGAGTCACTAGAAAGGTCTGTTGCCCTTAAGGGTTGGCTCAGTCACGTGTGAATAGGTACAAGACTCAGAATTTAAGCTTATTACCACTGATATGAATGGCAATCTAACAAACATGTGTTCCACGCAGTGAATTGGAGTCAAGAATGTCTAGCTCTTGTAAAAAAGCTACTACACAGCGTCATGCAGAAAGTAAGTGGTTATAAAAACGATATACGTTTTAGAAATGACAGTTATCATAGGCGGCAATTAGCTTATATGTTTATGCGCCTTCTTTGGGGTTTCCAGATCTTCTTGGTGCAGCTACAGATCATGAGCTACCGACAGCGCCTTTCAGACTTTTGCCGCCTAGTCACTGTCCTAAATGCGGTGCAAAAACATTTATGTCTGAGCCCCTGCACTTCTACTGTGGGAATGGAGATATTGAAATAGCTTCAAATGAGTACCCTCCGGAACTTGTGTACTTATTCACTTCTAAGGACGAAATTGCTGTCCACTTTCGAACATATGCTAGATTATACAACAATCTATTTGCATACAGTTCTCTTGGGGGTCTTTTTGATGCACACAGCTACAAAGGCATTTCTGTGTTCAAATTGCATGGACAAATGTATCACTATGTTCCAAATTTATTTCCGACTGATGATAGTCCTAAATACCTGCAGCTATACTTCTATGATGGACAACGTGAAGCAAAAAAGAGGTTGGGTTTTTTTCCAGAAGTAAGAGATCGAAGACGTGATAAACATCCTTATGTATGTATCACAACAAAATCCATATGCTGTGTTTTTTCGGTCTCTAAGAGAAAGAGCAATTAATGCGGGCACAAAAATTGTTCTTAATAAAAACCCAATACTAGATCAGCGTGTTTATAATGCTCTTGCTGTTGATGATGTTACTGTAATATGGCCAGAGAATGCTTCATCTAGCCAAAGCTCAGGCCCTCATATAATGGTAACTGGAAGATCTAATAAATCTTACAGAATCTATCATAATTATGGTTGATATGACCCACTTCAGTACCGATTGTTATTTCCTCGAGGAGAATGTGGCTGGACCCAAGGTCTTAAAAAAGTGTCTCACAAAAGCAGGCGAGCAGCAGATTCAATTCCAGATCCTATAATGTCCTGTGCTATTCATACGGCTGAAGACTTTTTGAATCAAGAAGAAACACGTACACTTTTCAGACCCTATATGTCTTATTACCTGTTTTTTCCATGTACCATAGATTCTTTGCAGCTGTGACATAGTTATGTTTTTTCTTATACAGGTGCAAAGAGAAAGAAAGCAGACAAGTTTATTTCTCCTAGAGAATATTATGCTTATAAGTTGCAAATTCGCCCTAACAACATGTTACTGCGAGCAGGTCGATGTTTTCAGCAATACATAGTCGATATGTATGTGAAGATTGAAAATACGAGACTTGATTATTTTCGAAACAATCAGGAAACAATTAGGGCTGATCTATATAAAGTAATTTTGGATTCACTTGATTCTGGAGAAACTGTTGCGTATAATGTTGGTCGTAGAGTGGTTCTACCTACGACTTATATTGGGGGTCCTCGAGATATGAAGAAGCGGTACTTAAATGCTATGGCTTTAGTACAAAGATTTGGTAAGCTAGATTTTTTTGTGACAGTTACATGTAATGTTAATTGGCCGGAGATAAAAGCCGAGCTAGCTTCTGGTGAGACACCACAAGACAGACCTGATTTAGTTGCTAGAATTTTAATTTTAGAGCAAAATTACTTGCCCTGAAAAAAGAAATCATGGAAAAAAAAGGTATTTTTTGAGAAGTTGCTGCCATGGTATATGCAGTTGAGTTTCAGAAAAGAGATTTACCACATGCTCATTTTTTAATTATTCTAAAACCTGAATACAAAATGAAATGTCCGGGTGACTATGATCGGTTTGTTTGTGCTAAAATACCTCCTAAAACTAATGTAAATCTAAGAAGAATTGAGTTAGCGCATATGATGCATGGCCCTTGTGGTTTATTGAATCCAGAATGTCCATGTATGCGAACAAATGGCCTAAAACAAAGTTGCAAAAATAAGTATCCAAAATTTTTTTGCAATGAGACTACTAATAGTAAAGATGGTTATCCTATATATCGTAGGAGAGAAACTGGGGAAAAGGTACCTATAAGGAATGCAGAGCTAGATAATCAGTGGGTTATTCCTTATAATCCATATCTTTCTTTGCTATTTGATTGTCATTTGAATGTTGAAGTATGTTCGACAATTAAAGCAGTAAAGTACCTATATAAGTATGTGTATAAGGTTCATGATAGAATTTCATACAATGTAGTGTCTTCTAATAGTGAGGTTGTAGATGAAATCAAACAATACCAATCAGGGAGATGGGTATCCCCTTGCGAAGCTGCATGGAGAATATTCAGTTATGATCTGTTTAAAATGTATCCTCCGGTTCTACCTTTACAAGTTCATTTACCTAATATGCAAACTATTCACGTTCGCCCTCATGAAAGGCTACGTTCTATTGTTTCGAATTCTAAACGGTCAAGGACTCAGTTGACTGAGTTTTTTTCAATGAATGCTGCTTCTGAAGGTGGGTTAGGATACTTGTATGGTGAATTTTGTGAGCATTACACATGGGATCAGAATGCTAAAGAATGGAATCAAAGGGTTTAGAACAGGATTTCAGTTGGGAGATTAGCATTCGTTTTTCCTGCAGAGGGTGAACGTTTTTTCCTTAGGCTTTTATTTCTAAATGTGAGAAGTCCTACGTCATTTGAAGATTTGCGCACTGTCAATGGCTGTGTTTATCCAACTTTTCAGGAAGCTGCTCTAAAGCTTGGACTTATAGAAGATGATGATGCAGCTGGTTTAACATTGTTTGAAGCTTGTGAGACTCACATGCCCGCTGCCTTACGTTGTTTATTTGAAACAGTTCTTATGTTTTGTCAACCAAGTGATCCTTGTGCTCTATGGGTTAAATATTATCCTTTTCTTGCTGAAGACTTTTCTCACAGATTTCCAGATCGCTTGGACAAAGTACAGCAGCTTACTGTCAGAGAAGTTGAGCAACACCTTGAATCAATGGGGAAATCTCTTGCTTTCTTTGGGTTAGAACATTTAAATTCCCAAGTTGATGATGATTTTAGGCGTACAAAAGACATTCTAGATTCCCTTGATGCACCAATCCCAGATGAATGCTTAAGTTGTCGTTCTAAGTTGAATTCTGCACAGAATGCTGCTTTTGTGCGTATAATGGAACATGTTATGCAGCAAAAGGGCGGAGCTTTTTTTTATTGATGGTCCTGGTGGCATAGGGAAAATTTTTCTTTACAATGCTTTGTATGCAGAAATACGGTTAATGAACAAAATCGTTTTACCAACGGCTACATCAGGAATTGCCGCAGCAAACATCCCTTCCGATAGAACTGCTCATTCACGCTTTAAATTCCAATAGATAGTGAGGCTTCTTTAGCGTGTGATGTTCCGAAACAAGGTAGTTTAGCGGCACTGTTAAGGGAAACTACATTGATAATATGGGATGAGGCTTCAATGGCTAAAAAGAAAAATCTTGAATCTTTAGATCTTTTGCTACAAGATATATGTGGGAATAAGATAACATTTGGAGGCAAGGTTATTGTTTTTGGAGGGGATTTCAGGCAGGTTTTACCAGTAGTGCCTCATAAAACTATGAAGGAAGCAGTAGAAACAAGCATTGTTACTTCTTAGCTATGGCCAAAGTTTATCAAATTTAGGCTGACAAAAAACATTAAAGCAAGAGAAGATCCTGTATATTCTGGTTTTCTACTTGATTTGGGCAACGGCAAATTACAAGAAACAGAAAATGCCTTTATTGAGTTACTAGAAAAGATTGTTCACTGCACCAACAACTTAACAGATTTAGTATCTACTCTTACAGAACCAACATTTCCAGAAATTGTAGAAGGTCAATTTTATAGTCAGGTTTTCACCAAAAAAGCAATTTTGACACCCATGAATGAAGACGTGGATTATATTAACACATTTATGATTGATAAGTTCCCTGGACAGGCTATTACATACAAGATTTTTGATGCCATACTGAATGATACATGTAGTATATATCCTACAGAATTTATCAACAAACTATGCCCCGGTGGAATGAGTCCTCACGAGCTTATCTTGAAGGAAAATTGTCCTGTTATACTGTTAAGAAATTTGCTTCCTTCTTCAGGTTTATGCAATGGCACAAGGCTGATTTGCAAGAAATTTTTTCCAAATGTCATTCAGGGTATTATAGCAGTTCGCCATTATAAAGGAGAAGAGGTATTCATACATAGAGTCAACCTAAGGCCTTCTAACTCTGTCAACTATCCATTTCAGTTTGAAAGGAAACAATTCCCTATCAAGTTGAGCTTTGCAATGACAATCAACAAGTCTCAAGGGCAAACTCTTAGCCAAGTATCCATTTATCTTCCACGACCATGCTTTTCACATGGACAACTTTACCTTGCATTATCACGAGCTAAGAAAGCAAAAGATGTGTGTGTTTTTACAACAAAAGCTACATACTAGAGTTCTGCAAATGCTGTTAAAAATGTAGTGTCTTATGATCTTTTACAGCTAGCAGGTATTATTGAAAATGATACACAGCAGTGCACATAATTAGTTATCTTCCTAGAACGTCAGGAAAATGCATAGAGATTCGTTCAAGTAAATCTGTACAGGTAGGTTATGATCTTGCTTTATGCATTCTTCTAAAATTAATACAAGATTTGATATTATTAACAGGTGCATCCTATTTTATGCAGGCAGCACAACCTTCAGGTGAGGCATCTGCTTTACAAGTGAACAATGTAGGTAAAGTTTAAAGTTCTACTCTGAATTAACGACCTTGATATCTAATACTTTCTATATTGTTTGTCATCTTACTACAGAACGGCCACCATATAGATGTGCATGTGCCTCTGATCATATCAGCCACGATTTGCTGCGCACTCTTTATGAACAAGATATGAGGCATAATACTCAGTTTCTGCGGAATACTTTGCATTGGACCTTATAATGGATGATGCAGGCAAGATACTGTCAAAATAATTTCTTTTATGCTGATTTTAGTTTCAATATTAAGTATGGCTCAATGGAATTGACTTCAGCAAAAATATAACATACTTTCCTGGAGAATTATCCTTCTGGATGATAAGCTTGAATAGATAAGAGTGCTCTTGTTGAGACTATGAGCTTGCAGCTAAATGAATAAAAACCTGTAATTTATTGAAATATCCTTCTAACATGTTGTCAAGTTTAATGTGTGCTATCACTTTGCAATTTGTGATTGAACAAATTAAACGATCATCATCTCCTTTTTGTTATATTTATCTTGTGGCCACAACATTTAATAGCCTTTTATTCCTCTTTTTTGTGGCAAATCTTTCTGATTTTGGATATTATGCTTAGGTTCTTACGAAGGTGTACTTGCTTTTAATATGGAAAATGGGACGTTGCCTAAATTCCGTTCCAAATGAAAAATATTGGTTACTGAGGTAGCTTTATCTTATCAATTTACAAAAACATTCCTCGTTTTGCATAACACCATGTCCATTGAATTTTTTTTTAAACAATCAATTCACTTCTCCTTTTCCTTTATTTAGGGATAGGGATGAGCATATTTCTATGCAACTTCTGCACACACATTACTGGAGATGGAAATGCAATAGTGACACATGATGGACTTCTATTGGAGGTAATATTCCTTGCCAACCTTAGCATCATTTTCCTATTCATTTTTTAAAATAAAATTATAGATTGGTTGGCGTTATGTTGTCTTCCTGGGAATCTTTTGTATAAAGAACGTTATATTTTTAGGTTTTGTCTTTCCTACTTAATCTACAATTGTTTATGATATTCTCACGTGGTTTGGCTTTTGGTTTCATTGCAGGAAATCACTGACACTGATACTTATGACTTTCCAAGGGTGCCACAATAATACAGGTATATATTCTTATATTTTCATTCTTGGTTTATCTTTAAATGGATTATAACATATGTATCCAGAATTAGCTCAGCATATCCTAAATTGGAAATACGGAATAAGCCCCATTGTCCCAAAAGGGTGCATAATAATTTGTCGTTCTGCTATTTTGGTTGTTGATCAAGAATATGTTTGTAGGTCAAGGAACATCACCTTTTGTGTTTTGGAACATGTTTTGATATTATATTATACAAGACTACCAGTTTGATGTATCTGAATGTTTGCAGTTTTGGTCATATTCTGGTTACCAGTGCGACTGTGCGAGGCATAAGATTCTTTTCAAAACAATCCAAACCCTCACCGATTTTAGTTTCATAATGACTATAGCTTCTGCTTAAAGCAAAGATGGATGGTTCATGGATTATGAGTAAATACCCAGCTTATTTACTTAGTAATGAATTTTCAGGGTTTATGATGCCCTTCTAGATATACTTGTGATTTACCAGTCTTTCATGTCAAGGATGTGTATGGGCAGGAAATTCAAGATGAAGGACTTATTGACCATTTATGCCAGGCAAGATTCTAAACATTCAATTTTTGCTACAAATTTGCTTCTTAAAACTAATATAATAATGATCTGACCTTTTGCCATTTCTTAGTGTTGTAAGAACAAATCAATTGCTGAAGAATAATAGCGTCATATTTATTGTTGCTAGATGATTGTCATAGTTGATTCTTTCCTATTTAATTTAAATTTATTTAATATTATTTTTTTACACTTCCTTGTTATCTGACAAGTTTCTTGTGTTTTTTGGCATCCGTTCCTTTTGGGTTCTTTTATGGATATGGAAAGAAATTCCGGTTCTATCATTGATTTGGTTGACTTAGGTTTTTAAAAGGTATTGCCTTAAATATTTTTTTGTGATTGGTAAAATTCAGATTTTTTTATTTCGAGTTATAAAATTTTTTATATTTTTGTTCTTGACTTGATTGGTTGGATACACTGAGTTCAAATTAGTTTAATGACAAGTGTTGCGTACTTGAGGTCATGCTCTAAAGTTATTTAGTGTTTTTGATACTGTGTTTTGTCATATGCAATGTTCCTAAGGTTGGATGTGGTGCTGCTAAGGCTCTTTAGAGATATAAGGTTTACTAATTTGAATTCCATTATTATTTACATTAAGCAAGAAAAGTTTGTGTTTATAAGACTACTCTATCTAGGAAATTAGGTAATCATTTGTTTAGTTTAGTTTTTTTTTTCGAAATTTCCTTGGTCTTTTGTACGATTTTTCCCGTTCTTAGTTATGCCTCTAACACCGCACAAGGTATAAAATCCTATTCAGCCCCTTTTGGGCAAGACATATAACTAATTGCCTTAAGTTTCCTAAACCAAGATATGGTTTATTAGATGCTGCCAGGAACAATGCTTTGATCCGTGTTATTTGTGCTAATAATCCGGATGGATTTTTTTATTTAGAGACATGGCTAATTTAATAGAGGTCTTTTGTGAAAGGGTAGCACAAAAAGGTGTACACAAAATGATTTCTTGGTTTGGTGTTTAGATCGCTCATATATTCAAAATGTATTAACTCAGTGAATGGCTCAACAGACATAAGTGTGTTGAATTCTGAAAGAAAAGGGCATATAGTAAACCAGCTTCAGTAGATAGTGTGAGGAAAATTTTAGTATTGACCATGCACATTGTTTCTGTTGGTTATGTTCATTTTTTAGGTGTTTTAATAACTGGTATTGAAATTATCTGGATCAAAGGTGTTGGCTATATTTCTTGGGTCATGGTAACTTGCTCTCATAAAAATATGGGTATGGAATGCATCTTTAGTGACCTGTGTTCTGAAGCCTGGAAAAAAACTTTTTTAAAAAAAAATAGCAAGCCTATACAGTTTAGGGATAGCTAATGCAAACTATAGTGCTGCAGCAAAGAAAAGTAGACCTTGTTATTCATAAGGGAGAAGTATTTAGCTTGTCTGCCTCCTACAAATGAAGATTCAAGCATTCTTGCTGCTGTTATTCCTCCCAGTGCACCAATAGACGCAGAAACAGTCCACAGATAGCTAATTCAATTCCTTTGGTGTTACCTACCTCAGAACAGTCAGCTACTGCGGTGTCAGAATTAGAAGTGGTTTCACAGTGGCCCAAATTCGCTTAGCTACGGGAGCTAAATATGAAAATCAGAATTAAGACCATTGTATGTTATGTCTGCATGATCTTGCGCTTGCATGGATTAGTCAAGTATGATGCCACTTGAGACATTAGCTTGTGCGTATATAATCCTGTCATGAGAGTATAGATTATTACATGGATTAGACATTAGCATGATGCCACTTTAGACATTAGCTTCTCATGTTTTACACAGAGATAGACAACCCATTCAACTCTACTAACCAAATTTTGTGAAGACATAGCCTGGCTTCCTATCATGAAAGAAGATATGGAGGAATCCCTTTCCTTGCGTAAAGTTCTATTTTAGGTTATAGCCCTTCAAATTTGGATGTTAGTACCTCACCGGTGTGACCTTAAACATGTAACCACCATCTGCTTTCCAAAGATCTTGCTCAAATCACTTGATGTTAATTCTATATGTAAGTCACTTCATGTGAGCATGTTAAAGCTTCACTTTGATTTGAAGAGGTTCAGAATCTAATCACCATAATCTCTGATGCTATCTCACCTAACGCAGGACACCTCATTGCTGGGCCAAAGAAACCACTCTTCATCTAATGCAGGGCACCATTTTTCTACTCCTAATAGTCAGATTACAAAGAGATGGATACACATTCAATTATAGTTGTTCAAGGTTTATATATGATTTCTATTTAAAGTTAGTGCAATTATCTTTGCCCGTCTACTAATTCATAGTCTATTGCATAATATTAAGCCTAGGATACATATAGTATAATTAATCTAACATATATACCTAACAACAATAAAATTTCGTGTGGATTTTTTAACTTGAGGTTTTGGACTGTGTTTCTTATGATAAATGGGCTTCGTAGAGTCTAGCCCACACAATCACCATTAACATTCATATTTTACAATGAAATCATCTTTGCTAATATTTAAATAGTAGTACACGTTGCTTCATAGGAACAGCTACACATTACAAGTCAAGTTACTGTTTACAATAAACTTATTATTTAATAATCTTAGTTGTTGTACTTGATTACTGCTTTAACCATAAAAAAGTATTTGGTTTTTTTTATAAAAAGTATTTCATTATTGCTTTAACCACAGAAACTATTTCCTTTTTGCTTAATTCCCAAGAAAAAAAATACTTAGTCACAACTCTTACCCAAAGTGCTTTCTAGATGTACGAATACAAGGATAGTTAAAGTAATTTCACTGTTCACAACAGTAAAAATGTTAAAAGGTTTAGGTTAACTTCTACACAGACTTTGGCTATAAATACCCAATCATAATCTTCTTTATGGAGCATCAATTCATTCTCTGCATTCCATTCTTTTTAAGGTATACTTTCTCCTTTGTCTGAGAATTCATTCGTTGGTTTTGCAACTGTAATTGTTACTATCACTGAAATGCTTAGCTTTATTTTCCTATGAAAAAAGTTTTATTTAAAAACACTTTTACCGGTATTCTTGCTTTATTTGTTTGTTAAACTAGGCCCTTGTATTTAACATTATCCCATTTTCTTCGACTATTACCTACACTTTTTGTAATCTGTCAATTTCTGCATTTATTAAACTTTACCCCAACTATTGTGCATACATTATTTATACGATTTTATTTAGAATGTGTACCATAATTACAGTTGCATGCTATTTATGAAAACTTTCCTAAAAAAGATTGTGTGCTAAAAAAGAAATTCCTAAGCTAAATCTGAGTACAATATGAACTTTTCTTTGTCTGCCTTTTCCCTGATTCTTTCATGCAACTTGACAGTTATAATATTTTTGTTTTAACATAACTTTCCTTATTAGATCTTTTGATAGACTATACTCTATATCATAATTGGATGCAATTGCTTATTACTTTTTACGGCATGTATTATGTAGCCAAGTCTTAACTTGTCAGTCTATTAACTATTTCATATTTCTGAACAAATCTGTACAGACAATGAATACACCTCCAAAAATGAAGTTGTAACCTCTTTACTTAGACGAAGTTAACAATCAAAGTAAAGACTACAAGGTCAAAGTGACTATGGTTGAAAAAGGCAGAGCTTAACCTTCACCCAAAAAACCTGGTGTGACATTTCAAACAATCATTTTTGGGGATGAAAAGGTAACTATTCTTTGTTAAAGTTTTGTTTTACAAAATTATATGCAGTCTGTCATTACCTTCTGTTTAGTTTGATTACCTGTTAGGCACAAATCATTTTATAACTATGTTTACTGTTATTAGTACCAGAAGAAAAAGGATTCACGTTAAAAGTAATGGATATATTAAGTTTGATAGCAGACTTATATCACAAACTAAGTCACTCTTGTGTTTCAATAGTATGCTCATTGTAGTTTGCCTTTCATTTTATTACAAAGACATATTTTAACACTTTATAAAGAATCATGTGATTATTAATTAAACTACAAACTTAAACAGAAAAACAAGATGCAGTGTGCTCTTTTTGGAGACCAAATTCAAGCATATGAAGAAATTCTAAAGCCAACTGGCCAGTACGAATATCTAAGGCTCCTATAAATGCTGTAGAAGATCAGTATAAAATCAACCTTGAAGAACTTGCATACCAAATGATTGTTGGGCATCAGACTATTATCCAGCGTTTAAATCCAGAAATTGTTCCGATTGAGCCTAAATATCAGCCTTTGTCAACTATTCCAAGATCACCTGATCCAAATGGCAGATATGGTAATGATTTGTATTCATCTGTTAAGGGAAATTTATGTTGCTGTTTGCGGCTTTTACGTTTATACTATAGTTTATGCTATTTCAAGTCATTCTTTTTTATAAAACAGACATAGTTGGTGACGGTGTGGTTCTGTTTGTTGAAGAGGATCCACGACTAATACCTAACATCTGTGGTCGTGATAGTTCAGTTCGTGAAATCTCTATCACTGACACAAGGTACAACTAACTACAACTTCAAAAGATACTAGCATATTTTACCTTTTACACACACACACACACACACACAAAAAAAAAAAAAAAAAAAAAAAAAAAAAAAAAAAAAAGAGAGATTGAAAAGCTAACAATATGTAATGTATGGTGAATCAGCCAAGACCATGCTATCATAATTTCAGCATGGAATGATCTTACTGGTAAACCTTGTGACGCTATGAAAAATTGGGCTGAAAAATTCAATGTTGTGGGATTCACTGCACTCAAGACCCGCCATACAAGGGGTAAAGTTATTAGTTATCCTTTACGGTATAATTAATATCAAAAACCAAATATCTAATCACTCTTACACTTGCTTACAGGATTCACTCTGAGTACAACTATGTCCACTCGAATTATTATAAATCCTAAAGGACCAAGAGCAGACATGCTTCGAGAATGGTAATTAGTGCATAGAGTTTATTGTCAATATTAAATCATACCTTGTCAAAATATTCACCTAACTCAGGCTTGCTTTCTGTTTCAGGGTCACATTGTATCGGCATGTCCTGCTAGACAGACAAGAAAGGATTTTGAATGTTAGATACCCGAGCACTGAAAAAAAAATTGTGACAATAGCTGAACTGAGAAGCAAAAAGGTTCTCACTTTATTACTTACACTCAGAGTGATTGAGAAATATGTCGTGCTCACAAATTAGCAATTTTCATTGGACGTGTTTTAAGCAGCCAACAATGCAATTTCAGCCTCAGTGAAAAAAAAAAAAAAAAAAAAAAAAAAACTGAACCAGGATAACTTCAGTATATGCTGACTAAATAAACAATGTGATTATCAAACTACTATGATTGAAATAGGGCATGTTGCTTTTTCATAAATTCACCTACATGATTAAAGTGCATGTTTTTGGGATTGAATTTTTAATGATTTGTACATTTTACTTTATTGATATACACTTAATTTGAATTCATTTTCATTCTTAAATTCAGTGCATTTTTGCTGATTTTAGACGTCATATTGCTATTAAAATTGCATTTTTGGTGCTTTTTAAATCCAATTGGGTATAAGTCTTTGACTCTAACTCCATGTTTTGATAGAGATCTTACCGATAATATACTTGAGTGTAATTTACATTTCTTACTAACATATTATTTATTTTCCACATACCCTAATATAGTAGTTACAGGATGTCTAATACACGTTTGTTTAAATTAATGCAGGCAGCAAATGCAACTCCCGATGAAATAGCTTGGATTCGAGTTACTATACCAGAACCTGACTTGCAAAAGGTTAATGCATACACTGGTTGCCTTGGTTGTGCAAAGAGAACACATCTCCCTATTGGAACTCACTTTCCTTGCATTTCTTGCAAAAAAGGAGACACTGTGTCTTCTCACAAGTAGATTACTAAACCTTATCCATGTATTATCCTTGACATTGTAAATGTATCCAGCAATTCCGACTTACTCTAATGTATACTTTTACAGAGTCACATTCAATTTTGATGCTGCTGATGAAAGTGGGACAATGTCATTTACAACCTTCAACGATGATACAAAAAAGCTTTTCTAAGTACTAGCAACTCAAATCTACCATATCAAAACCACTGTAAGAATAAATATCAATGTTGTGCTCACGAGTTGTTTGCAACTTTATTTGAAATGTAGATAATTTTATTTACACTACAATAGTTTGATTCAGTATACATGTCACAGTAAGATAAGCTGATTAATGGTATAACAAAGCTTTTACTGCATAATTCACCCTTTGTTATTTTATTTATTTATTTATTTTAAAGTTTATTTGCTGTTTCATATAAACAGTTTGAATGGTATGCTAATCAACTATCCTTGACTTACTATCTGTATGCTACTTTAACATTTTAGGGGAATTGGGAAGCTTTCAAAGCAATACAAGAAACACTTTCCACTAAACCTTTCTACATCCAAGTGACCCCTACTCACGAATTAGCTATAAACAGTGTGCTACTTGGAACTCTCAAAAGCATTGAATTAGAGGATACAGAAACACATACTCAGATTCCAGGTTCATCATCTACTGATCAGATCACAAGTCTGCAACAGGAATTCAGGACCAAAACTAGGGCTCATGGCAAAGCACCTGTTGTTTCTGAACCTCAGCTCAATGTTGATGTTAGCCAAAACACTACATCAGCAAATGATGCAGTTCTTGCTGAAATAGCTCAGTTCCAAGAGTTCAGGTTAGCTTCTCAAGAATTCGACAGAGATTGCTTTGATGCTCCAATACAGCCATCAAGCAAAGGAATTACAATTTCAGAACCAACGGAACCAAGCACTAACCTTCCTACATGGACCAAACTTGCTCGCACACGAACCAATGTCAAGAACAAGAACAAAGAGGCAACGTCTGCTGATCTGCACCAAGAAACAGGTGATGAGGACCATGTTCCTAGGAAGAAACTCCGAACATCCCTTTCTGAAGAGACTACTGATATGGAAATTTCTGAGAACAAATAGTCCTCTACAAGCATCCTCAATTACCCATGAAACAGCTTAAAGTATATAGATATGCAACATCTTCTGTTTCTAAAATGTTACCCTTAATCACTTATGGTATGCTAATTTGCTAGATACGAAATATCTTTTGGGTGTTTAAAAGGAACATTTTGCGCATCCTATGTTCCCTATAAACATCAAGCACGTATATAGTGATGTGGCTATGTAGTAAAAACTGGTATGCAGTAGCTGTAGTGTCTTAGACACCGTATTTCAAGACAGCTTAAATCTTTTGCAATGTACATAGTAATGGTGGGAGGTAGAGCCTTATGAGATGACTATGATGTATGAACTTGTATCCTTAAATCAGGTTACCCACTTATAATATAAAGTATGTTATTATATTTTCTGGTCCAAGTTCAAAGTTATTGTTACTTAAAAAACTTTTATTCTTTCAATCTGTTATAAAGACTACATCAGTTCATTACTTATCTATATTACTTGTTTCTTTTTTGTATATATTTCACTTCACTTTTGTCTGTCTATCATAAAGTTAGCATTATGCTTTCGGGTTCATGTATTTTCCCTCTTATTAAATTTGATACACTATTTCCCCTTTGCTAGCCTTTTTTTTTTAAAGCAATATGAGAACCATTATTAAACATCACAGCCATATTACAAAAGATAAATTTCCGTCAAGTCAACTAATCCTTGAAAGGAGTACAGAAAGACCTGCTCAACCCTATTACATGGATTTAATCTAGCTAACAGATGCGCTACAACGTTCTTATTTCTCTTCACATGATGTTAGAAATCCAGAATATTCTATACTATTCTGTAATGTTCTGTAAATCTCTCCTCTTTCTATACTTAGGATAATTAAATCAAATCACTCTGATTCTTAGAGTGATTACAGGCTGTGATTAAGGAGTGATTACAGACCGCAATTGTAGCCCAATTAGGCAAGTAGAACTTGTATAAATGTTGTAACCCGAGCATTTTTGAATACATAGAAAACCATTGAAAACCTTAAAACAGTGTAGTTTATTTTTAAGTTGGTATCAGAGCCAGGTTCGTTTTTCCGGTAATCGGAGACGATCAGGCAACATCATCTACCATGGAAACAGACAGCAAAGAGGTTGTACAACAACCAGTGACCATGGAAGCTTTAATGCAACTTTTATCAAAGTTAAACACCACTAAAACAACCACAGACATTCCAAATCAACCCATCCAAATCCCAGAAAAACTAAACCATAAAAATTTTATGAAATGGTCCAAACTGATGCAGTTGGAACTCGAAGGCAGGGGGAGGCTCAGTCATATCACAGCCTCACCACCGCTGCCTGAGGACCCAGAATACACCAGATGGACTCAGCGGGACTCGTTGGTAAGGTCATGGATTATCGTAAACATTGATCCAGAACTGCAAAATCAGTTTTTGGATTACCCAACCGCAAGAGACTTGTGGAAGGGGATTGAAACTTTGTACGGAGGCAGCAAAGACGGACTCCAAATCTTCGACCTTACGGTCCGGGCAAACAAGATGCAGCAAGGGATAGACCCAGTAGAGGTCTATTATAGCAAGTTTACAGCAATATGGAAGGAAATTGATAGAAGAGTTCCTAATCCAATGACTAGCCCAAATGACAAAAATACCTTTAATCGAATAACCCAGAACAACAGGTTATACCAATTTCTTGCCGGACTTGATGACTCATTCGACAAAGATCGGAGGGACATCCTCAACAGAGAACCCCTTCCAACCCCTGAAGAGGTGTTCGCCACCATCAGAAGAGAAGTGGCTCGCCGCGGAATCATGAAATCAACCGGAACAACCACCCCGATTTCCTCATCTACCCAATCATCGGAGATCGGCAGTGGTTTTGCGGCCAAAGGAAGGGCAGAGAAACCGGTTTTCCGGCGAGAAGATGAAAAATCGGGACTCAAGTGTACTCATTGCGGCGGTACTCGCCACACCAAGGATGGGTGCTTCAAAATAATAGGGTACCCGGAGTGGTGGACTGAACGAAAGAAGAAAGGAGGAAGAGGTAGTACCGGTAAGGCAGCTCTGAGCACCGGCGAAGCAGGTGAAGGAGGAGTAACGGCAGCAACAGCCACCACTGCTACAAAATCAGGTTTGAAAGAAAATAAAGAAGAAGGTATGAAGGATGAAACCTTAGACTCCTATTTATATGACTACAAAAATCAGGAGAGTATACCTCTTAAAAATTCATTTCAGCCCATTTGTGTTAAGCCCAAAACCGTGTACCTAGAACAACAGATTGAGCATGTGGACTTAGAACAGAAATTTAGTGAACCTACCCATTCAAACTCTCATAAAAAATCTGTTGGCTTAATGTGCAAACCCAATAAAAATAATAGGTGGATTTTCGATTGTGGAGCAACAGACACTATGACTTTTGATATCAACGATCTCGAAAAAATCCATACATCAAAAAAGGACCATATACAAACAGCCAACGGAGAGGTAATTAAAACAAAGGGGTCGGGTGTTGTCAAAATTTCTGATAACATCAAACTACCTAATTGCCTCTTTATACCGGACTTATCCCATAAATTACTTTCTATTAGCCAATTGACAAAGGACTTAAACTGTACTATTCTTATGAATTCTCGTGGATGTACTGTTCAGGATTCTCGGACAAGGAAGATTATTGGGCATGGTACTGAAGAAGGCGGACTGTATTATGTTACTCGGATGCCTCAACATGGTAAAGCAGCGCTTGTTCGCGGGACGGTTGAACAACAGCTTTGGACTTGGCATAGGCGTTTAGGTCATCCGTCTCTTGGGTATTTAAAAAAACTCTTCCCTTCCCTTTCGAGTTCGAATTTTGTTTTTGATTGTGAGGCTTGTATTGTTGCAAAGAGTCATAAACATTTTTATCCAACGAGTCGAACTGATAAACCGTTTATTTTAATCCATTCAGATGTATGGGGTCCAGCTCCAGAGTTTAATAAACATGGTTTTCTATATTATGTTACCTTTATCGATGATTGCACTAGGATGAGTTGGGTTTATTTTCTTAGAAATAAGTCTGATGTCTTTAACACCTTTGTCTCCTTCTACAAAATGGCCCAAACACAATTTCAAACCCAAATTAGAATTCTCAGGTCTGATAATGGAACCGAGTATAAAAACATTGATATGGAAACCTTCATCCAAACAAATGGCCTTATTCACCAAACCACATGTCCTGACACTCCACAACAAAATGGAGTAGCAGAAAGAAAAAACCGAACTCTCCTGGAAATGACTCGGGCCATGATGATAGAATCTTCTGTTCCTGCTTATTACTGGCCTGAGGCCATTTCCACAGCCAATTACCTCACCAACCGCCTACCTACAAAAAGCCTACATTTTTCTACTCCATTAGACACCCTTAAAAACCATGTCAGTGTTCCTACTGCCCACTCATTACCACCTAGAGTCTTCGGTTGTGTTGTGTATGTACATCTACCCAAACGGAATAGAAATAAGCTAGAACCACGGGCTGTCAAGTGTGTCTTTGTGGGGTATGGAACTAACCAAAAAGGATACCGCTGTTACGACCCAGTTGCAAACCGATTGTATACTACTATGGATTGTGACTTTGTCGAAACAGAATTTTATTATCACCACCTTCGATCTCAGGGGGAGAGCCCTAGTGAGGATCTAAGCTGGTTGGTCTATCCAGAACTGAATGTTCCTGACCCAAAAGAACAGGTAGGCGATACCGCCGAGGCAACTGATAACACTATACAGCTCGATCTTCCTAATATCATGCCTACTAATCCAAACATGTCTGAGTCTCCAGTTTAAAATGAAATAGAGGTATGTACACCAGAATCGAGCCATATTTCTGAGTCTAGGTCACCTGAATCTACTAATGTACCTTCTGAAAGTGAAAATGTAGTACCAGGTGCAAGGGAAGATCAGTCGTTGAGTCCTGTACATGGCAGGTATGAGTTGCCACCAAGGAGCACAAGAGGTGTTCCTCCCAAGAGGTATGATCCAGAATTTGAAGCCCAAAGATCAAAATATCCTGTGAGCAAGCCAGGAGAGGGAAATCTATCCCAAGGAGTAAAGAGCTACAGTGCAGCCTTATACTCTGAAAGCACTCCCGCCACAACAGAAGAAGCTCTTAGAAGTAAAAACTGGAAATCAGCTATGGAGGAAGAAATAAATGCACTGGTCCGAAATAAGACTTGGGAAAAGTGTACCCTACCTACTGGGAAAAAACCCGTAGGCTGCAAATGGGTCTTTACAATAAAACGTAAAGCAGATGGCAGCATTGAAAGATATAAAGCAAGGCTGGTAGCTAAAGGGTACACGCAAACTTATGGGATAGATTATGATGAAACTTTCTCTCCAGTAGCGAACTTCAACACTATCAGAGTGCTTTTTTCAGTTGCAGCGAACAAAGATTGACCCCTGTATCAGTTCGATGTAAAAAACGCATTCCTTCATGGAGATCTTTCTGAAGAAGTCTATATGGAAGCTCCACCAGGGTTCTCACATGGCTTTG